ATCAGACGGCACCGACTCTCAAACACAGATGTAATTATGGCCCGTCGTTCCCAAAAGCGCAATATTTCAGTTAGAATCACTGACCTGTGAACAAGACGCAATCATTGACACATGAGTGTGTGTACACAGTGTGTGTGTAGGGAGCTATATGCACATTTATTTGTGGTTTACGGTACCTTCCCAGCAGCAGTATTATAGGATAGATGGTGACGATCGAAATCCCAAACAGCAGCCTAGCAATAATCATCATTACATCATTTCCAGGATATGACATCAGGATATCTGAGGCTACTTCTCGCCCAAATGTAAGAAAACCAAACACACCTGCCATATTGCAACAAAGTGTCAGTCTCTTATTTAAAACTCAAAAACTTACATGAAAATATTTATAATAATAACACTATAGATTGAGCTCTACAAATATGACTCACCTGTGAGAGTATAAATAATCAGGCAGAAAATCATAGAAGTGACTGAGATGAAAACCCAGTGTGTAATCTTTTTGTTTTCCATGCTGCTGTATATAGCAATACAAGCTTCATGACACTGTAATATAAATAAAGATTACAGTTTATGAGCTTTCAGCAATCACAATGGTCAAAAGTACAACACAGAAATTTGCAAATAGGGCACCGTTGATTTAAAGAAATAATAATTTTATCTCTGCACAGAAATAATATTTGCATACTGATTGTTATCTAATAATTTTTTAGAGAATCTGACCTGGAAACCAAAACAGATAGTAGGGACCACACTGAACATAGAGGCCCATGAGTCCAATCTGTTACAAATAACCCAAACAAACCACTGATATTAAACTCTTATGAATAATATATACATGAACTCAACTTTATGGAAAACATGTTCTTTACATATAACTCACCCTTGACTGTGCTCTGGTGTGAGGTCTGCTGTGTGCTCATCTTTTAGATAATATTTTGCGATAATAGCTACACTCAGGTATGTAGCAGCCAGAGTTCCCAATACACTGGACACAAAGCATTAAACACAAAGAAACATTAAGAGTTAATGATGGATACAGCAGGTTAAAGTGGGACAGTGGTAGGAGATTGAGGGAAATATGTAGTACTTTTCACTAGACATTAAAAAGGCTAGAAGGTGGTATAAAAAAGATTTAGGGAGTAGCAGATATATGTGTCAGCTTTTAACACACCTGGTGTATTTCTGGATGCCGATCTCTTTGGGTACAGAGAGTGGAAGGATGATAATGAAGCACGTGACAAAGAGCGCAAAACGGTGATCTGTGTACCAGTGATATGGCATCTCTCCTTCT